TCTGCTCCTCTTGGTTACTTTTTCCCTTCAAACATGCGTGCTCTCATGCAGATGAGAGCTTGATGTCTCTGTTGCCTTCTCTCTCAGGTGGAGACTTTTTTTTTTTTTTTACCTGTTCTCTTTTGTTCCATAGGTATATGAATCCTCCTTTCTGCTTGTCTTCTAGTGAGCTCCCTTATCCTGTAGGGAAGCTGGTCATGCCTCCAGCTGCTCTTCCAGGATCTGTGAAGTCAGTCCAGTTCCAGGGGTAAAGAGAAATAGTAGGAAGTCCATTGTGTCTATTATGTCCAAGTAGAGTTTTTAATCTTTTCTGTTAAAAAGTGGTATATACCGTATTATCAGTGCCACCCGACTCCTACATATATTTCTCACTTGGTTTAGATCATACCCCTCTGTTTGATTAATTATCCCCAAATATTTGTTATGCAGGAAAATGTTTTTCACTTATTGAACATAGTTATTAAAGGAAGAAGTAGCAAACTGGAGACCGAAAAGCCAAGTCAAAACAAACAACTTTGGCGTGAGGATGTTGAATGTTTCTGTTAACATTTTAAAATGGTGAGATTTCAGTTCCTTCTACTGTATTGTATTTTACTCAGGGAAGCAAGAGAGGCAGCATTATGTGACAGGCATATATAGGCAAGAAGGTTTATTACTTATTTAAAACGTCAGTTTTCTGTTTTTGACAACAGAATCATTAAGTGGAAGATAAGTGGGTTTACAGTAGGTTTATAAGTTTAATCATGAACCTTTAAGCAGAACTTTGTAAAGATCCCTGTTTCTAGCTCCAGGTTTCTAATAAATAGCTCTCATCATAGCACTCTAGTCTCTGTAACAGTTTATTGCGATATTATTCTAACAATAGAGTATTGAGAATATATTCTACAAGGATAATTGGACATCAAAAATCAGTGCTTTTTTTCTTCCCTGTAATATATAAACATCTCTTCCCACTTCCTTCTAGGTATTCCCAGTTTTATTTGGGTTTGTTAAAAGAAACTGGATTTCAAGATATATATAGGTAGAATTCAGAAGTTACTAGTTCTCTTTTTTAAATGTGTGCAAAGGACATTTTCCAGGTTGCCCTGTACTGTGCTTACAATATGTTTTGTATCTTGACGAAGAGTAAACTTTGGAAAAACACTGTTAGCCTGCAAGTTCACTTTTCAAAAGCTTCATAATTTTGAATAGGTAATATATGGTTCAAAATCTGAAAGTTTTAAAAAGGCATAAATCTCACCCTTCTGTGTTTCTGAACACCCAGTTTCCCCCTCTAAGGCATCCACTACTACCAGTTTCTTGTATATCCTTCCCGAGATTTGCTATGCAAGATTTCATGTACGGTCATACAAATGTGTATGTATACTTTACATACACTCAAATTAATGGTAGAAATGGTAGTATTTAAATAGCCTATCTTGGCAATCTTTTTTTTTTTTTTTTAATTATTTGAGTGAGAGAGAGTGCACAAGCAGGGGGCGGGGAGAAGGAGAAGTAGACTCCCTGCTTAGCAGGGAGTCCCATGCAGGGCTCCATCACAGGACCCTGGGACCATGATCTGAGCTGAAGGCCACCACTTAACCGACTGAGCCACCCAGTCGCCCCCTATCTTGGCAGTCTTGCCAGTTTTTGGTCTTGAAAATTTCTGCCAAATTGCCCTTACTTGCCTTGCCCTTCAGGAGGTTCTCCCAGTTTATATTCCTACCCACAGGAAACGTGAGAGAAAGTGCCTGTTTCCCCACAGACTCACCAACAGGATGCCTTATGAAACTCCTTTGATTTTTGCCAGTCTGAAGGCAAAATAGTACCTTGTAGTTTCAGTTTGCATTTTTGTATTTTGAAATTCAGCATCAACATGAGATGAATTTAAAAATATTTTTCCAGTTTATCTTTTGGCTTTCTATGTTTATTTGCCATGAAGACCATTTTAAAAATGTGTATCAATTTAGTAATCGATTCTGGGCTTTTAGATTTTGTTTCATTTAGAAAGGCCCAGTTGGAGAGTACAGAAATAATTCATTGTTGTTTTTTACGTTTAAAGTCTTTGATCTGTCAGGAAATTTTAGAGTAAGGTTAGGAGGTATGCAGGCTTACTTTTTTTTTTTTTTAAGATTTTATTTATTTATTTGAGAGAGAGAGACACAGCAAGAGAGGGAACACAGGCAGGGAGAGTGGGAGAGGGAGAAGCAGGCTTCCCACGGAGCAGGGAGCCCGATGCGGGGCTTGATCCCAGGACCCTGGGATCATGACCTGAGCCCAAGGCAGACACCTAACGACTGAGCCACCCAGGCGCCCCTTACTTTTGATGCAAAGATGTATATACTGTGATATAATGCGTATGTTGTATTGAGACTAAGTAATTTGGGGGAAAGAGTTGTTACTGTATTGCCTTTCTATGTAAGGGAGAGTCATTGCAAATTTTTTCATGCATAAAGCAATACCTTTCTGTAAGAAATTTGGAAAAATAACAGGGGGAAACTAAAATCAGCCATGGCCCCGGCACCAATATATATAACAAAATCGGGACCATACTCACACTGTATCTTAATTTTTTTTCACTTGAGACTAACACAGTAACAGATTTAGAAAATACTTTAAGTGGATGCTTAGTATTGTGTCCGAATTTTTTCAACATCCCAGTGCTTTCTTGAGGCACAGTCTAAGGCCTTTAAAGGACCGCATGGCCTCAGTTTTTAGGCGTACCTTTAAATCCTGAACAGTTGGGGCGCCTGGGTGGCTCAGTCGTTAAGTGTCTGCCTTCGGCTCAGGTCATGATCCCAGGGGTCTGGGATCGAGCCCCGCATCGGGCTCCCTGCTCAGTGGGAAGCCTGCTTCTCCCTCTCCCACTGCTTGTGTTCCCTCTCTCGCTGTCTCGCTCTGTCAAATAAATAAATAAAATCTTTAAAAATAAGTAAATAAATCCTGAACCGTTTTTGGAGAGCCCATTTTAGATGATACGCCAGCACTCGTGCGAGCCTGGCACCCAGCGGGTCTGGAGCCGACCCGACCAAGCAGCGGACGAAGTCTCGGCCCAGGACCCTGCCTCTCCCGCCCCTCCTGTCCCGCTCCAGCCGCAGTGCCCCCTACCGGCGGCGGCGAGGGCAGCTGAGTGCGCGGCTGTGGGAGGTCGCTTGGCAGGTCCCCTCTCAGCCCTTCTCTTCTGAGAAGTCCTTTTAATGGCTTTTGGAGCCACTTGCTTTTACGAGGCTGGCGTCCGCCTCTCCCGCGCTTTGCTGCAGGCCCTGAATGCAAAGTTGCTGCTGGGCAGGGCCTGGCGCTGCAGACGACTGGCTGCAGACTACCGTCCGGCGGCCCCAAGGCGGGCCGAGGCTCAGCCCGGGCGACTGGGGTTGTTTTCTGCGCCCCACTCCCTCGCCGCTCCGTTTGGGGACGTTTGAGAAGTTTTGAACTTCCGGGGTTGGCTGACTCGCGTCTGCCGTGTGGTGAGTGGCCGAGGGGCGTCGCTGTGCCCTGCGCTTGGGCGCGGCCCTTTAAACTTTGTTTTTTTAAACTTTGGGGGTGTGGTCGTGGCGCCTCCTCTCTCAGCGGCTGGTTGTTCCCTGGCCACCCAGTCCTTCCCTCCGCCCCGCCTTCCAGATGCTTTGGAGTCATGAGCCGGGAGGGCGCAGGGACCCCTCTGGTGGCGGAGGTGATCAAAGGTGAGTGCGGTGGCGCGGAGCTTGTCTGTCCCGGGAGCCGCTGTGACAACCGTATTTAGGGGGTGTCACGCCGTGCCGGGGGAGGCAAGGAGGCACCTATTGCCGGCCAAGAGCCGCCCTTCAACTTCGGGGCTGGGCAGATGCTGTCTCACAGGCGTGGGTGGCCTCCCGGGACTTCTAGTCTCCAGACGTGGTCTTGCTTTGGGGCGAATCTGCACAGACGTATGCAGTTGGGAACCTGGTGTCCTTACACCCCTGGCTGGTAGAGGAGTTGCCCTACTCACCCATGGGAGCAAAGGTCCCAGGTCACTCTGTGCACGGGAATCAGGGGTCATTTGTGGTTGGAAAGGAATAAGCTCCGTCATCTGTTTGAGAGTTTGTGGTTGTAAGACATTTCGGTTGAGGAGTTTGCAAGGAAATAAATACAGCGATTGTGCGAGTTGAATTGCAGACAAAAATTATTTAAATTACCATTTGGGGAAAGGATGCCAGCTGGCGTTCTTTGTTTTTTACTATTTTGAAGGCTGTACTTGATTTTGCCACAATCTGAGTGTAAGTAAGTATTCTATTAGTACTACTTACTACTTCTAGTAGGTATTGCAGGTGACTGCTTCCCCGTGGATTTTTAGGCAACTTTTTTGGGGGTGAGGCGGGGAGGAAGGGTGGAGCCTCTGAGCAATACAGCGCCTTACCATTCTTGCTAAACTTCACAGCGCCTAACTGCATTTATGCAACACAAGTTCATCTCACACTCATATTGGAGAAACCTCTCATTGCTGCTGTTGTAATGGTAATTTGTCTGATTACAAAAGTAGTGATCCCTAAGAACAGTCGAATAAACACATGGTTTGTTTTGTTGTTTGTGTTCTGTAGCAGTAAACGTTAATTTTGCAGCGATTTTGATAGCGTTCTTTAGCTTCTATTTAAAAAAATACAGTTTCCTGTTGAAATGACTTTTAGGATGACTTGAAAACCTAGCAAAACATAGTGCAAGTAATCTGCTTAGCTATCGAATGCATGCTGCTGTTTGCTAAAATTTCTTAGCCCAGGGGAACCAAAGGTTTTGTAATTAGAGGTTCCTCTAGAAATCTAGCCATATTGCTATGTGAAAAATTACTTACGGCTATTGAAATTCATGGTTTAAGACAATTTCTCCTTTAAAAATGTTGCTTATTTATTGTTACCTACCAAAATAGCAGAACGCTTTGAATTACCCATTGGCACTCTTACCATGCATGGAAAAAATAAAAATTTGACTTCATCTGAAAAGAGTTGCATCATGATATGTGAAACGTTTTTAAATAACCTGAAGGAAGGAACATTGCAATTTTTCCATTTCAGATCGCCTTTGTTTTGCCATTCTCTACAGCAGACCAAAGAGTTCATCAAATGTACATTATTTCAGCATAGATAATGAACTTGAATATGAGAAGTAAGTACTGCTTTTTAAATGATTGTTAGTAACTTTTTTATTTTGAAGAATCTAAAGGTATGTTTATAAATAGAATAGCCTTGGAAAATTACGAATCTGTTGATTGATAATTGCAGAATGTTTTTTTCTTGGTAGTATAACCCTGGTAATAGGGTAGATCCATAGGGAAAATATCAAAATGAAGGAACCTTCCTAAATTTAACAATTTATATTTGAAATTCTAGCAGCTTAAAGTAAATGAGATATAAACTAGTATACTAATAAGTAAAATGTGGAAAAACGGCTTTTTTATTCATATGTTGAGACTAGATTTAAGCATTGTAGCATTTGTCATATGTTTTAATAGGCATTCCTTACCAGAATACCACTAGTTTACCACTAGTACGGCAGTATCATTAAGTTGTATGACCGATAACAATTTGATGTATGCTTTCTTGTCTTAGTTGGATCTTGTAGTTCCAAAAAGGCATTTATATTTAGAGGATCTAGAATGTATATGTATGTTTCTGTTTTTCATTTTTAAAGCTTCTACGCAGATTTTGGACCACTCAATCTGGCAATGGTTTACAGATATTGTTGCAAGATAAATAAGAAATTAAAGGTAAAATCTTTTTTACTTAAGATTTGACTTAGGTAATCATTGTTAGCCTGATTCTGGGGAGGGAAAAGAAAGGAAAACATACCTCTGTTTTTTATTTAAAAAAAAAAAAAAAAAAGGTCTTATTTCTCACTGCAGTGGTGTTTGGGACATACATGTGATTTTTGTTTTATATAGTCATAGTGTATATATGTTTGTTTTCCAGAGTTTTGACTGAATGGCTTAAGATTGATTGGGTCATTTGGTTCTGGTTTGGATTGGTGATGCTCAGATACTTGAAAAGCCAAAGTAGAAATTGGTTAATAACGTGAAACCTCTTGCTGTCTGATCTAATGGAACTGAAACCTAACAAGAGGAACTTTCCTTGCTTTCGTCATTGTTCTTTCTGCCTTTACTTTGACAGAGTGCTAGCAAAGTAATAAGAAATACTGGCTCATCTTACTTCCATTCTATCTTTAATCTCCCATGATATTGTACTACTTGTGACTCTTCACCCCCACCTTTATACATACCATTAAGGAGCAGGGAAAGCAAGAGCAAACAGCGTATCTTTAAGACTGTACGTGAGAGTTGTAAAATTGTATTTCTGTTACTTTGAACTCAGACCCCATTCCTTTATTTAAAAAACTTCTAAGTTATGGTCACATCAATAAAAAGTGTTTATGTACTGCTAGCAATTCCAAATTAGTCACTGTAAATTCTCAAGTAGAAAATACTGGATTTAAGGGTAGGTAGTTCTTAAACAACTTTCTTAAAAAACAACTTTCTCCAATTAATAACTTACCATACTAATACACAGAAGAAATAAAATTTATTTTCAGTTAAATTTTGAATTGTATTACAAATTTATGAGTGAGTAAGGCAGATTTTTTTTTTTCCTTGAGCCTCAAACCTAAAATTCCCCATTATGAATGTTAGAAGCACCTGTCAAAGGAGTTACTAGTCTGCAAAATAGAAGTTGGAGCATCGCCTTTTCTTTTTTGTATTATATGTTTACCCTACAGATTTATGTAGCGATGGAGACTCTTCTTTCTGGACTTTCTTTTTCTCTTGAATAGGAATATAAGCATTTATAGCCTTGTATATTTATGTCCACACCCTCCTCCTTTTTTCCAGTTGCTAATGGCAGGTCTTTTGTTCATACAGGGCTGGGAAGCTAAAAATCATTTCCTCCCTGAGGCCCCCTCCCCCCCCGCCTTGTGTTTCTTTGCTTTAATTTTGAAAGACTTTTTTTTCTTTTCCTGTACTCCACCTTTTATCCTTTGACTCAGCCAAGAATATATTGGCATATTGGTCCCTTTTTTTTTTCTTTTTTAACTTTTTATCATTTACCAGAACAACTTTCAGGGTGTTGACCATCCAACCTGATGGAAACATTACTGCCTATTCAATTAGTGACAAAAGTGTGTTGAGAGTTTGAATTAAAGTGTCTTGTGCTTGTGTTTCTCTATGGCTGGTTGGGTTTTGTTTTTGTTTTTTAAAATCAACTTGGATCTCTTACTCTATGTGAACAACTAAAGGAAAATATGTACACGTTCATCACTGACACACAGAAACCAAGAAATATGTGTTTTTGAACTGAATATATCCTTTTCCTTGTGCTTACCTGAATCTGTTTCTGCTCACGTTAGTGAAATACAGGTGAGGAGGTGCTAACTATAATCATACGCTTTTTTGGTTTTTAAATTCCATACCCTTTTTATTTAACTGTTTATCAAAGTATAATGTATGTACAGAAATAGGTGCAGATCTTGAGTGCACGGTTCAGTGAATTTTCACAAACTGAATATACGTAGGTAATCATCTTGGTTATCAAATCAAGAACAACGTTAGCACCACCACATAAGAGCCCACTTTTGCTCTCTTATCTCTGCTCCACCCTCACCCTGCCCTCTTACCCCATTCACCATCTTGATTTCTAACAGAATGAATTATTTTTGCCTGTTTTAATATACCATTTTAATTATAACGGTTTTGGGAATTGATTTAAAACCAAAAACAGGAAAAGGAGAGAAAAGTCTCCCTCCCCCCTCACTGCCTTTTCCAGCATCTTATGTATTCTTTCAAAGTTTATACTCCAAGCATATATCTTCTTCATGTCCCCTCCCCACCCCTTAACTGTACTTTCATCCTAATCCAAGAACATGTCTTTTATGGGGAAGGTACATGGTATTTTGGGGCATCAAAGTTAATCATTTTAAAGATCTCGCTAAGGTGAATGCTTATACATTGTAAGGTTTGGAATTTATCTTCATCACAAAATGAAGTTTTAGAAAACTTGAAATTAAAGAGAAAATACTAATACCTGCTTATCTTTATGTAGTCCATCACAATGATGAGGAAGAAAATTATTCATTTTACTGGCTCTGATCAGAGAAAACAAGCGAATGCTGCTTTCCTTATTGGATGTTATATGGTAAGTATTTAACTGATTTCCTAACATATTAGTGAAAATGCATACAACAGTGGTACTTTAAATTGTAGTTGGAATTTTGAAATTACTTTTTCTAAGATAATATTTTGATTTCTTTCCAGAAAGATCATGTTTTGCTTTTAAAGATTTGACCAACAGGGAAGGCTGTGCATATTTGGGGGGGATAGGGTATATGGAAGATTTCTGTACCTTTTACTTAGTTTTGCTATTCTGAACCTAAAACTGTTCTTTAAAAAACCTATTTTTTAAAAAGTTGACCAACTACTGTGAAAACCCTTTTCTGTGTTATAGCACTTAAGGTTAGAAAATAATGCCCCCAAAGCTGTGTTTTATAAACCCATGATCCATTTAGTGAAGTTGTGAAAGTGGAGTCAGGACCAATAATTGATTTTTTTCTAGAAAAACATCAAAGTGTATCACATGAGGTAAGAGTGCTTTATAATTTGAATATAGGCAGTTTTTCCTAACTAAGGTGTGATTCTTAAGTCTGTTCTTATGGATTCTCTCCATTCTCATAAAAACATCTAGAATGAGGACATGGTGAGTCAGTGTTGTAGGAAAAAGTTACATACTATGTAGGTTACATAGGACATTGAGAGGTCTATTTGTTGTTGTTTTTTAAAGATTTTATTTATTTATTTGTCAGAGAGTGAGAGAGAGAGAGAGCACAAACAGGGGGAGCAGCAGGCAGAGGGAGAGGGAGAAGCAGACTCCCCGCTGAGCAAGGAGCCCGATGCAGGACTCAATCCCAGGACCCTGGGATCATGACTTGCACCGAAGTCAGATGCTTAACTGATTGAGCCACCCAGGTGTCCCAAGGTTTATTTCAATCATTGGAAAATATGCTTTGGAATAGCCAGTATTTATTCAAGAGTTATAAATTTCATTTATTTATAAGCATCGTGGAATATCTTTGTTTTTAGAGTCACATTTTATCACTGCCTAGTACATTCATCTGCAGGAGTACCTTAGCAACAGTTTTTCCAGAGTAGGCAAAGAGCTCCTCCAGAATAGTGCCCCTTATCTTTTTGTTTGTTGGTGTGGAAGCTAGCTATCCTGTTCACTGGAGAATAGTGAGTGGGTATGTCTTCTACTCCCACCCACCATAAGGGGATTGTTTTTGAAGTTCTTTAGATAAGTTTTTTCTTCCCCGAACTTGCTACTTGCCTCTGTCATGCTGTCCTCCTTTTGAAAATTATTTTCTTGTGTATAGTTTAATAATTTGGAATATGCAGTGATTAAACCAGAAGTTGGTGGTACTGAGATTGCACCCAAACATTTCATAATTTCCTTTTCTATGTTTAAGGTAAATCATTAGCAAATGTGATTAAAGCCTTTTTGCTTTTGTTTTCCTCTTGTGCTCACAGAAGAAATGTTTCTGGGCTAGCTGTAAGTTTTCTTACCATCTCTGAATGTGTGAAACATGGGTGGTAGATTAGGTCTACTAAAATTTGACTTCTTGGGGCACCTGGGTGGCTCAGTCGTTAAGCGTCTGCCTTCGGCTCAGGTCATGATCCTGGGGTCCTGGGATTGAGCCCCTCATCTGGCTCCCTCCTCGGCGGGAGGCCTGCTTCTCCCTCTCCCACTCCCCCTGCTTGTGTTCCCTCTCTAGCTGTGTCTCTCTCTGTCAAATAAATAATTAAAATCTTAAAAAAAAAAAAAAAAGTTTTAAAATTTGACTTCTTAAACTTACCCAGATGTGGTGCTTTTGTTTGTTTTTTTCCCCCCATCTCTCCTGGTGTTTATTGTGCTTAGCAGCAAAAATTCTTAGGGGAAAAAAAAAAAGCCTATGCAAGTTCTAAAGAAAAAGAACATGGAGAGGTGGCTCTTTTAACTGGGGCATTTGGTGCCATTACTTAGCCCTCGCTGGGGAGAGGAACCTCATGGATTAGAATAAATCATGACAGCTTTACAGAAAAAGAGTTGCAGCCAGAATTCTTGGGGTTTGTAAAATATTAAAGGGAACCCTGGAGATATGGCCCTTAGTGTGACAGTAAAAGTCTTTACATTATCCAGGAGGAAATGGCTAAAGACATTCCATTCAAGAGAATGTGCTTCTGAATAGAACACACAGAGCTCTGCCTGGGCTGCTCTTGTGTCGGTCATTTATTTGTCTCTGGTCAGATGAGATGTCTCCAAGATGGTGGAGGCGGGGGGGCAGGCAGGGGCGGGTCTCGGGGAGCCAGACATGGTAACTTCAGCGTGAAGAACCCCCAGAGAGGGTGGCTGTGAGCATGGTGGGAACCACAGGTTTTGTTAAAAAAAAAAAAAAAGTGCTTGATAATTTTATAAATAAGAAATCTCTTTTTTAAAATCTTATTGCTTAACCAACTGAGCCACCCAGGCACCCCTTTAAAATCTTACTGCTGTTGTTTTTTACTGCTAGTGATAAAACAATGACCCCTTGGCATATTTACTGAAAATTGTTGTCATATTTGTTCTAAGTTTGGTATTGACCTTTTGACTTTGTTTATGGCTGCATTTTGGCATGTAGAAGTTTATTTTTCTATATTTAACATATTTAGAGTTAGAAATCCTTTCAGGATTTTACGCTCTCAGATTAGCACTGATTTGATTGGTTAGGAAAGTGCCAGGTAAGCAATTTGGACATTCACTTGAGTTCATTCCTCTGCTCAGTTAGAAGCCAGCTTGCCAGGAGGATTATAGCTCTTGGCTATAGCAAAAGTCTTTGCAGCCATGACTGGTTGGCTGAAGTAGGAGCTTGGAGTTGAAATGATGCTAGGTGGGAAAACTTCTAAGAAAAGGGTATTTATTTATTTATTTATTTATAAAGGTTTTGTTTATTTATTAGAGACTGTGTGAGAGCACGAGTGGAGGTGGGGGATTCCGAGAGGGAGGGAGAAGCAGGCTCCCTGCTGACCAGGGAACCCGACTTCGGGCTCCAGGCTCAATTCAAGGACCCTGGGAGCATGACCTGAGTCAATGGCAGACGCTTAACCGACTGAGCCACCCAGGTGCCCCAGAAAAGGAAATTTATTAATAGTAGCCAAGGAGTGTCAAGATATAGTATAGATACCTCAAAAGATTAAACATCAAGTGTGGATTTGATGGATTTGAGGTGAGAATTTGATCTGGTTGAAGTCTGAATCCTCTGATTAAAGATTTTTAGAAAGAGTGAAGAGTTCCCTAAAAATTGGTCTGCAGCCTTGATAACCTTTTCTGGAATTGTTGAGGAATTTTGGAAATTGTAATGCTTTTTAGTGATTGACCTGGAAGATGGTGCAGTAATGTTAGAACAAAAAATCTGGGGCGCCTGGGTGGCTCAGTTGGTTAAGCGACTGCCTTCGGCTCAGGTCATGATCCTGGAGTCCCGGGATCGAGTCCCACATCGGGCTCCCTGCTCGGCAGGGAGTCTGCTTCTCCCTCTGACCCTCTTCCCTCTCGTGCTCTCTATCTCTCATTCTCTCTCTCTCAAATAAATAAATAAAATCTTTAAAAAAAATCTGGAGGAAGAACTGTCAGGAAGGAAGTATTCTGAATGGACTGACTCTCTCCATCCTTTTACACTCAGGGCCTCTGAAAGGAATGCCCTCTCCATCTTCATGTGTTCAAAAGGACCTAATATGGAGTGTGGAGGAGGCTTGAGAATGAAGTGTCAGCACTTCTATTTATTTTTTTGTCTTAAAAACAGAGGAGGTTAGGTTTTGCAGATAGTCAAAATACTCAGCTATTAAGTGGTGAAGGGATCAGATGAGAAGTTAAGCCTAAGGAAGCAGAGATGAGAGGATCTGAAAGCAGTAGGTAAGAATCCAGTTCAGCAAACAACAGTCTCGACGGGGCAGCAAAGACTGGAGGATAAAACTAGGTGGGCCAGCCCAAGTCTTTGTAAATACTCATCCCCTGACAGACACCTTCCTGGGTGTCTGTGACAGGCAGGGCAAACAGCAACAGGCTGCTGTAAATAGCAGCCAGGAGCTGGGTTAGTGTGAGGTGTGCCTGGAAGGGGATGGCGTGGGCCAATGGAAGAGACCGTGTGGTGGAGGGACCATCACAGTTGATCACAGCCTCACTTCCTTTCTTGCCCTGGTGAGCCCGACCACTGGTGTTACAGCCGCCTGTGACACTTGAGAAGTGGTATTAATTTGGGGAAAGAGTGAAGAAAAATGGCTCTCTGTTAGGAGCTTTGATTGTAGATCTTTTTTTTTTTTTTTAAGATTTTATTTATTTGACAGAGAGATAGCAGGAGCAGGAACACAAGCAGGGGGAGCAGGAGAGGGAGAAGCAGGCTTCCCGCCGAGCAGGGAGACCGATGCGGGACTCGATCCCAGGACCCCGGGATCATGACCTGAGCCGAAGGCAGACACTTAACGACTGAGCCACCCAGGCGCCCCTTGATTGTAGATCTTTTAAGCTCTCTGGAATTTTGGATCCTTGTTTCAGTACTTATTTTAGATAGTATGGTTTCTTGTCTATAAATAAGACCTGAGCAGTAGGCCCTCTTCCATCCAGTAACAAGCAGTGTGATTTTGGGTGACCAGTGAATATCACAGGTTGGAAAGTAGTGGCCTGCTAGCTCTACGTAACTGAGTATTTATAAATTGTAGTTTATTTGTTTTTGCCAATATTTAAAAATTAGGAGATTTCATGCAAAAAAAAAATCAAGATTTTTGCTTTGTTTTAAAAAAATATTCCTACTACCAACATAATATAACCATGTACACTAATACCCAGGGCCAATTCCCTCACATTTATTAGCTGTCTGGCCTTGGTAGATACATGATTGCTATGCCAAACTTGCAGTTTGCCTTTATCTAAATCGAGGATCATTATACCAATCTACTCTATATATATCTATGTAGATATATATATATTCACACATCTACACATAAATAATTGAAAAATTAAAACTATTGAAATATAAGGCTATCTGATTTTTTTTAAAGTAATTAGGATTTTTTTTGTTTGTTTTGGTGCAGGAGCTGTGGAAGTGATTTTACTTTATTTACTTATTTTATCATATA